TTAATAAATAAAGTTAGGTTAATTTAAATTAAAAACTTAACCCACACTGTCATAACTCAAAAAACCGAAAACCCGAGAAACATGCCTTTAAAGTTTTTAATTCACATATAGTCACCCTCATGCTAGAAGCATGAATGTGCAAATTTATCAGTTTTGAGTTACTGGGTTGACTTGGTTAATCTTTGGATTTTCTATGTTATACCAAAACCCAGAATACCTTGCGTACACGGAAAGTAAATATTTTACAATTTCAATTGCATAATTGTAGAGCTAAGTCTTGCAAAAAAACTTTCAAATTTGATTTCCCAAATTTTCATTTTTACACATTCATGTTTATGGCATACGGACGACGATATGTGTACTCCCATACTAATAATTAATACATATTACGTTCTAGTGAGCTACTGGTAATTGACACAGTTATAAAATTTTTACACAACCTAGAAGAAAATGTATCGGTCATTTCAAAATTGGCGTCGGGTGAAAATTTTTAAATAATTGAAAAGCGAATATCTTGCCTCCCCTTTGATAATGAATGGTGGAAGAGGATGGTCTTCCGACTCGACAACTGGGCCACTCTCCAACATAAGGCAGCCGTCGTTAACCCATGGATTCTACCTTCGTTGTGAAATCCAGCCCACTCTTTCCAATATGAATGGGCTTCACCACATTTGCTTCTCGTCTTCTACATTTGCATTTCATTTTCATAGTAAAGTTATTTATAAATACATGTACGCGTCAAACAATTATAAAATATTTGCTTTTAAAAACTTGGAAATAAGCTTTTTGCTATAAACATTTAATTTACACATGTAAAACTAATTTATCGGAAGTTTATTCCAAAAACTCCTTTAGATCAAAATAAACCTATTAAGAGCAGTGACTATTCAATTTACAAATAGAAGAGGTGAAAAAAGCACAGCAATCTGATTTTTGTTTACTTTTTGCGTTCTCTTTGAGAATACTTGGAAGTACGAGTCCTATGGATACTTTTTTGCAAATATGAGTACTGGCATCGATACTTTTTAGAGTATTCTATATGAGTACTAGTATAGATAGATGGCAGCCGCTGTGGTTTAGTGGTAATCAGTACGCGCTTACACTCCGCAGGGCCTGGGTTCAATCCCTGGTCAAAGCAACATCGCAAAAATATAGAAAAAAGGTTTTTTCATAACAGCGGTCGCCCCTCGGCAGGCAACGCCCAACCTCCGAGTGTATTTCTGCCATGAAAGACAGCTTCTCATAAAAATACAATCGCCGTTCGGATTCGGCGTAAAACTGTAGGTCCCTCCCCTTTGTGTGACAACATCAAGGCGCACGCCACAATTTGGAGGAGAAGCTCAGCCAAGCACTTACATATGTGTAAGCGCCAATCTATTATTATTATTATTAAATATTTACATTTTACATATTCTATTTACGAATCGACACTATACGCAGTGTATTTAAAGAGCTCTAAATTTTTAACAACCAGATGTCTAAGTTTATTTCTTGCCGAAAACCGGGACATTTTGCGTCCCGGCAGGTATTGTACCGGGACCGGGACATAGCTCTTAAATCCGGGGCAGTCCCGTCGAAAACGAGACGTTTGGCAACCGTGCGCACATCACAAATTGGAGGAGAAGCTCAACCAAACACTTAGCGAACTCTGTGAGCACCACATATTTAATTTATTTTTACCTCTAATAGTCCTTGGATCAAAACAGGTATACTGGGACTACGTATGTCTTCTTCATTGAAAATTTCCCGAAGCGCTAAATTCTTCCAGGTTAAGTAATGTAGAGGCTGCGCAGTATGCCGCAACACAACATTTATATAGTCGGATATGTTATTCGAACGTATACGTGCTAATTCAGAATAGAAACCTAAAAAGAAACGAAAGGAAGAAGTCATGATGTTGGTGTAATTTAAGGTTTGTGTAGCGTTTGATTACTGGTCAAAATGAAAGATCCAGCATCTTTAGCAACTCCAATTATCATTGGAACTGTGCGATTGGATACTAATGCGGCGGGATGAACGGGAAGATATCCAAGACTGTCTCCAACTGTTAGTTTGAAACCTCCCATAAAATGTAACCCACGATTCTCATTCTCCTCCTTTCATAAAAAAAATATTAATTTTAAATTTATAATTTATATATGTACATATAGTTAAGATTGTGTGCGAGTGCGATTCAGTTATAGCCTTAATTGAGGAAATACATATCGTCATTTAAAGTACAAAACCGCGTATCATCATTCTGCAAAACCTCGTAACTGATATTTGCTGCCAAAAATTAGGTTTGCTCACACAAGCTCTTGGCTCAATCTTATTCATTCATCCTGAAATATACTAGCCAGAAATGCGATTGCTTTACAAAAAAGAGAACCATTTTGAAATATGAGTATTTTTACTCTCTAGAAAATGATTTATATAATCTCACATACACATTTGACATTTACATTGTCTTGATACGCGGTTTTGCATTTTGTTGATAAGCAGTTTTGTACTTTAAACGACGATATGTACATATGTACATTAAGCTAGTAACCTTTTGATCACTTTTGGCTATTTTGCTTTAGTTCATTTAATGTTTATTATTTGTTCATAAAAGTTTAGCTCATTATACAACAAACACCATATAAATTCACATTTCAAACTTTGTGCAAATATTATCAAAAATCATCCAAAGTTGCATCTAAATTTTCAACCATTTAATCAAATTTTTCAGAAATTTTTGAGTAGTTATGCAGTTTTATGGCTTATTAAATTCTTGTATGTATAATAAAGTGCAAGTATAAAGTTCCCAAAAAATCGCGTTGATGACTGCATTCCGAACATTTTCGATTAAAAAAAAATTCTTGTACTTTGAATGGAAGAAAATATGTATGCTGAAAAAATTCCCACAAAAATCAACGCGATTTTTACAACCTTTTATTTAACTTGGTCATTAGCAACTTCAACCTTGCACTTTATTATATTATAATTTAATGGGATTTAAAATTGCATACTCAAAAAAGTTAAGAATCTTAATTCAGAGGTCCAGTTAGCGAAATATCAGTCTCTGAAAATCGAGTAGAGTTTCAATTTGGACATTAAAATATAAATGAGATGACTCGCACCCAGCCTGAGTAAAAATACATACATAATGTCGTCTCATAGTTTCCAAGATTTCCGTAGTACTTAGTCTTTCAAAGCAGATATGAAGATTTTGAACTTCTGGCGCACTGACGCGAGGGCAGCGAGCTAATCGTGCAAAGCTGCGCACTGTGGAGAGTGCATCTTGTTCCAAAAATAATGGATTTAAGGCGGTACCTGACTGGAGGATGAGTTTGTGAAAAAGACCTTGTGTCTGCAAAAGAAATAAATACACATATTTATGTCAGTAAATAGGTAATTACTGTGCTGGATGTACGAATATGTATGAATATATGTAGATATATGTATATATATATATATATATTATTGAATAGTAATCACATGCATTCAATTACCTTGTTACTAAAGCTTAGAGCATGCACCAAAGTTGCGCCCCCGGCTTGACCAAATAAAGTAACTTGCAGCGGGTCTCCACCAAAATGTCGTATGTATTGCTGAATCCATTCCAGTGCCAAATGTATGTCGGCCAGTGCTACATTTCCCGGCATTTCTTTCGTCAATGTGGTAAGGAAACCAAAAGGCGCCAGTCGATAGTTTATTGATACTAAAACCACATCTTGTTCCAAGAAGTAGTCTGGTTGAGCTTCCTCAGCGCTGCCATCAAACAACATTTCGCCGTGAATGAAAACCATCACTGGCAAGAGGCGAGTTCTCTGCTGTGGTTGAAGTATAAATGACGGCACATGAATATTTAGCGAAAGGCAATCGTCAACATTTTCACGGCGCGATTCCGCGGCAGTTATTTTCTTCAGGTCGGGGAACTGTGGACAATTTGGTGCCACTTGTGTCGCATCGATTGGATCATTTCTGTGGTGTTGATAAATATTGGCTTGCTAAAAACAGACAAGAAGATATGGAATTGTTTTGCTAAAAATTTTTGCGGATAAGTGATATTTAATTTGCTGAGCCAAAACGTTTAATGCTCCAAAGGAAAGGAATATCCTCGGAATGTAGGATCCACATTTTCAAACGAATCTCCAAAATCGAAAATCAATCGGTAGAAAACAATTTGGTTGTTTCGATTTACCCATCGAGAAAAGAATCGCGAACAAACATAAATATTACTAGTTTTCGATAATTAGAGCTGTTTCATTCAGTTTATTTCAATATTTAACGTAGTAAAATACTACATTAGTTCAATTTTCTCGTGTTTTAAAACAAAAATTAAGTTTAGATAAACGTATTTAGATGTGATTAAAGTTAATGTTTTAATTATTAAAATAATAAATGTACATTAGATACAAATTTTAATATGCACAGATGAATTTAAAACTTATTAACTGACTTCAAAAAGGAGGAAGTTTATCAATTCTTCGAAATATACTTTTCTTTTATGTATGTAACCGGGACCACGTGAACCCTGTTCGATTACATATATTTTTTTTATAGGAAAGATGGTACCTCAAGGGCAGCGTTGACGTTTTATAATTTTCTAGCGGAGTGAAATGAGCCGAAGAGTGGAGTGTTTTTGGGTTTTCCGTAGTGTCAAAGTAAAAACGTTTGCCAAAGTATGTAAGACCCATTTGTCTCTTGTCTCATAAACATACACTTTCCTGCGTAGATATATTTGCGCACACGTATTCTTTTTTGAATAATAACCAAAATGTTGTTGTTGAACTCTTTTTGTTATTTTTTTTTACAAAAATTTGGTAACTATCAGCCTTATCATGAGTTTTTCCCCGAACCGGTTCACTTTTCGGGTAAATTTTTTTTCGGGCGAAACTTAGGATAAGGCAGGAAAAGATTCAGGCAACGTTAAATAAGAAGTTTTCACCGCTTTATAAACAGTTAGTTATGTAGATATTTGCAAATTATTTTCTTTTTTCATGTAGTTTACGTATAAACGTAGTACATATTTAATTCTGATAATCTCAAAATCGGAGTGTTTTTCACGAGAGTGAGTGACGTAGTGTTCGGCTTAAAAAAGGAGTGAAACTCCGATCGGAGTGAAAACGGGAACGCTGCTCAAGGGTGGTCCCATACCCATTTGGTTTATTTTCGATCACCGTGTCATGAAGAATTTAACGGTAATCCTAAATTTGTATATGAGCGTTGAAGTCGCTTGTATTTTTTGCTTAAAATTTACTTGTTGAATATCTCTTTCCATCATCTGTTTTTCTCTTGACATTTATATATTTGCAGACTCTTTCATAAGCGTACGGGATTTTGGAATTGAATAGTTTAATATATTTATCCTGCTAAGGTGTTTCTATACTTTCTCCGATTTACTAAATGGTTCCATAAATTGTTCAATTTTATTTATTGATACCAATTCTATTAATACAAAATGTATGTAAATATATGTATTTATGCTCAAATTACTTTTACTTAATTTTAACATTTTGGAAAAGTCATATGTAGGTCATTTCCAAACAAAGTGCTATTTTTTGCCCTCGGTTTTAAATATTTTATGGTGGTAAAAACGAAAAATCAAAAACAGCTTTATACGATCCAAGGCACATTGAACAGGTAGTATCAGTAGAGCAGCGGGTTTAATTTTTTTTTTTAATTATTTGGTCTCGAATATGGCAAATATTTAAAATTTTTTCTCACAAAAATTCTAAACGTTTAAAATCTATTTGCATGTGAAACTTTTTTCATACAAAACTAGCAATTCTTATGTAGAATTTCCCGGAGATTCCGAAAATCGAGTTAATTTTTTTTGTCTATGGATACGTTTTCGAGATATTTTCAACTTACCGTTATTCAGCTCAAAACAAAAAGTGGTTCCAGTTAATCACGTATATCTTACGAACCATTTAATAATCCTAAAAGGAGATACGTTAAATCAAAGCTAATGAAATTCTCCATAAACCATATATACATCACTTTCCGATAGGACTGATAGTTTCTGACAAATTAATTAATCATTCCAGGTTTTTTATTTTTTAATGAAAAAATTAAAAAATAAAATAAAATTTTTACATTTGGTTCTGTGCCAAATTTTTGCATCTGTGCTAAAGCCTGTTCTATTACAAACAAAAATCAAGTTACTACTGAAGAAAATCGATGGATAAATAATAACTTATGAGTGATGAAATGAAAATGCGGAAAGATTTTTTGTATGAAATATGAGCCGAAAAGCGTGTTACTCAGGTTTACGTGGCGTATAAGCTACTTTCGTTGCTGCTCATATTTCATACAAAAAATATTAGCGCATTTTCATTTGACCACGCATAACTTCTTTATTTATCTATCGCTTTTCTTCATTAGTAATTTGATTTTTTTTGTAAGAGAACAGGCTTTAGAACAATGCAAAAATTTGGCACAGAACCTGTTATTTTTTAAATTTTTCTCCTGATTTTCTAATGATTTTCTTAATTTTTTCATTAAAAAAAATGGAATTATTAACTAATTTGTCAGAAACTAAAAGTCCTATCGGAAAGTAGTGTATATGTGGTTTATGGAGAAATTCATTACCTTTCATTTGACGTACCACATTTTGAGATTGTTAAATTGGTTCGTAAGATATACGTGATTAAGTGGAACCACTTTTTGTTTAAAGATAAATTGAAAATATCTCGAAAACGTATTCATAGAAAAAAAATTAACTCGATTTTCCGAATCACCGATCAATTCTACATAGAAATTGGATAGTGGCATCCACAGAACATTTTTGCTGTAAACCAGTGTTATCTGAGATGTAAATATTTTTAAGTCTTCAAAGGCTTTTACTTGAAGACTTATATTATAAAAGATTTTTAATAATAATTATCATTGAGATAAATATTTTTAAGTCTTCAAAGTCTTTAATTTTGAGGCTTATATTATAAAAGTCTATTCATAATAATTATCAGTGTGAAAAAATTTTGCAAGTTGTACTTACTTACTTTGGGACCAGTTTAAGACTATATATATAATATAGTCCAAAACTAGCCCCCAACAAGTTCCAAACTTTTTAAGAACTGGTCCCCACCTAGTCCCGAACGGGCCCCCAACTAGTTCGGTAATGGTCACGAACTAACGCCGAAATGGCCCTGAACAAGCCTCGTCCTTTAAGACTTAAACAAACTTTTCACACTCATAATTATTATGAATATACTTTTATAATATAAGCCTCAAAGTAAGAGTCTTTGAAGACTTAAAAATATTTATCTCAATGATAATTATTATGACAAGACGTTTTTTACATAAGTCTTAAAATAATAGTAAGCGATGACCTAAACACATTTTCTCACACATAATTATTATTAAAAGACTTTTATAATTCTTGCGAAAATTTGGATGACTTTTTTAATACTCGACCATGAATTAATTATTACTCTGTGTCTCTGATTTCAATGGTTCCCTTGTTTTTATATTTTCGTGAAATAAGACTCTTAAAAAAAATAACAACAAAAAATGTGAAATATTTCCTGAAAGTAACTTTTAGCTGAAAAAGGATTCTTTTTTTTTATTTAAGTAGCTTAATTCTCCAAAAGTGTTCAAATGGCATTGTTGTCGGAGAAATATTAACCAAAACGCTTGCCTCCCAAGAAAAACCCCCCGTTAATGTCACTAAAAAGGTGGCAATAACATTAGCTTATGCGATAAAAGAGATTCAAAGTGATATGCAAATGTTTAAAAAGCATGCATTTAATGATAAAAATCAGTACAATGATTATCGGTTAGTATACTTTTTTCTAGCAGTTTCTAAACTTATTTTTCCTTTAGTTTACTTTTAATAAAGTGACATTCTGGAAAATATTTTACAAAATGCATAAATAAGAAAAAAAAATGTTCCATACACCTTATCTATAGCAGACATAAGCAAAAGAGGGAGTTCATGCCTAGTTACGGAAACGGCATAAACAGTAGACAGATAAGCAAAGTGTAAGAAAAAGGAACAGTCCGGTCAGGCGGAGTCAGTCCCACCCTTTCTGCTTGTGACTCAAAGCAGCCCATTTTTCTACAAGGCCCCCTAAACCTGACTCAAGTTCGTCAATATTTTGGTCAGTCAAGCCATAGCAATTACCTCCGTTCAGTCGATACCCCCACTTCCCCTACATCGCACCCGTACAACACCCACACCAACTTATCTTAATTAGAACCGCATCGTTCACCTACGTATACCCTTCAAATCAAACAAAGTGGTTTCAATTCAACGCACACCATAACCCACAATTATTTATTCTTAAAGGTTTTTTTTTCTATCTCCTAATCGTACCTAAATACTACCTATAGGCATTTACTTATATGTATCTATCAGGGTTTTCGCAACCGCGGAGCTTCCGCATTAATTTTAACATTCGCATTCGCAATAATCAATGCGGAGCTTTTGCGAATGCGAATATTTTGCAAGTGAACCGATAAAACGTATATATGGGGGGAAAAAATTACATATTGTAGCCAATATTTTTGCCTGTGGTCGTAGGAGTATTTGTGTAACAAAACTGGTCAAATGTCATATTTATCAACTTTGATAAAAATGTCTTTAAAATATTATTTCTTAAGCTATATAACCGAGCTATCAATGGGCAGCCATAAAAGTTACCACTTCTACTTGACCTTTGACGTACGTCAAAGAGAACATAGTTCTTTTAATAATATTTTTTTTCTGTGCTTTAAATACCTGCTTTGGCTTCTTTCTTTATTATGATTTTTTTGGACCAATCTTTAAAAAAAAACTACTAGACACAAAAGAAGAAAGTGTGCACTGTAATTCTTAACAAAATTTTCGAGATTTGCTTTTGATGTTATTGGCGGCATACACGGTGCGTCTGACTCGTGAGTCGGTTTGGATGTGTTTGTGAAAATGAATATGTGTTAGTTACACCAACATGACTCTGAATGATTCAACTGTGTGTAGTAGAAGGCGAGTCAACACGTACACAAATGATTCGCGAGACAGACG